CAGACTAAAGGACCACAGTTCTCAGACTAAAGGATTTAATTCTCAGACTACAGAACCATAGTTCTCAGACTACAGAACCATAGTTCTCAGACTAAAGAACCATAGTTCTCAGACTAAAGGACCACAGTTCTCAGACTAAAGGACCATAGTTCTCAGATTAAAGGATCACAGTTCTCAGACTAAAGGAAAATAGTTCTCAGATTAAAGGATCACAGTTCTCAGACTAAAGGACCATAGTTCTCAGAGTACAGGACCATAGTTCCCAGACTAAATGAACATAGTTCTCAGACTACATTACCATAGTTCCCAGACTAAAGGACTTTAGTTCTCAGACTACAGAATCATAGTTCTCAGATTAAATGACCATAGTTCCCAGACTAAAGGACTTTAGTTCTCAGATTACAGAATCATAGTTCTCAGACTATAGTTCTAAGACTAAAGGACTTAAATTCTCAGGCTAAAGGACCATAGTTCTCAAACTAAAGGACCATCAGTATCAAACCATAGGACTGTAGTTCTCCAATTAACGAATCATAGTTCCCACATTGTCCTATCACTGGTGGATCTCATGATCTCACCAGTGCAGCAAGACTTAAATCACTAGATGAACGTCAGCACGCTCTAGTGTTGAGATTTTAAACGTCAAATATAACAGTTCAGACTTTTACCAACAATAAAATTGTAGTTTCAAGTATTCCTGATATGATTTTGCCAAAGAGATGTGAATATACTTGAGTCACACTGTGCCTGTGAACTTAAAACGTGATATGGAGATTATTGGTAAGTGGTTATGAGGTGGCACCTAAAGTTTGAGAACCACTTAGTTAAAAAATGTAAATAAAGTAACTGACAAAGCCTTTTAGCAACAATGCTACATGCTTATTATATGAACACTACATGTTCCTATTTTTACATTAGAAAAATTCTTGTGAAATTTTAAATATGAAAAGAAAAAAATAGGAAATTTATCCTACTTTATACAGAAAATGATGAAAATATCACAAAAGGGTACTGTATGCATTTTTAATCACATAAACTGGACTTTGTGACACATTAGCCATAAACAGCTTGTAAAGTAGATGGTAGACAGAAGAACAGACGTGATCAGGTCATGAAGCAGCTAACACTCACTCCATTGTGTCTGTACTCGGTCGGTGGACGACTGCCTGCCTTTGTCTGTTGGAGAGAAGAAGGTCACTGTGAAACTAGGAGAAATGAAGTCAGTGTCTGTGGGGAGACATCCACAGTTTGTTTCTTTTTTCAGTCTTGGATATTAATCAAATCCAGGCTAAGATGGAAATAGGTTAAACAGTTAAACATTTAAGATAAATGGTAGAAAAACAAAAACTGTGGGTTAATAAATAGCAAATTTAACTTAAAGGAATATTTTTGGGCATTTTTCAAAGTGTAGTTATATGGAAAGGTCATGAACAAATAATGTATTTTCTGTTGGAAATGTGTGGGTGCCATTTCTAAAGTTACACAGTTAAAAATTACCAGCAATATTTTTGCTTTATTTTGCCTTTCCTTAGAAAAAAATAGGGGTGTATTTTTCAAAGTCATATTTTCACCTTGTTATTCATACATTTATAAAAGTCATAGTTTACAAACTAAATTTTTGGTTTACAAGCTAAATATTTAGTTTACAAACTAAATATTTAGTTTACAAGCTAAATATTTTGTTCAAAATTAAATGTTTAGTTAAAAAGCATTTAGTTAAAAAGCTAAATATTTAACTTGTTAACTAAATATTAAGTTAGCATCAAAATATTTATGTCTTAATTAAGTTTTTAGCTTGTTAGCTAAATATTTAATTGAGCACAAAATATTTAGCTTTTTAACTAAATATTTATTTTGGAGCTAAATGTATAGCTTAAATTGTTAAATATTTAGCTTGCTAGGAAACTAAATACATTTAGCTTGTAAATGAAATATTTTTTGGCCCGGTGATGGACTTGCGACCTGTCCAGGGTGTACCCCACCCCTTGCACAGTGACTGTTGGATATGGGCACCAGTGAACCCCGTGACCCTGAAAGAATAAGTGGGTATAGATAATGGATGGATGGATGAAATATTTAATTTGGAACTATGACATTAATAAATGTATGAATAACATGGTGAAAATACGACTGAATAACTTGAAAATAAACCGATATTTTTTTCTTATGAAAGGTTAAATAAACCAAAAATATTGCTGGTGATTTCTGACTGTGTAACTTTACAAACGGCACCCCACAGAAATTACTTTTTGACTACAGTTTGGAGAAGCTATTATTAAGTGAGCTAGTGGTACGAACATGTCCAGGACCACCTGGAAATGTGTGTCCTTTTAGCTTATAAGCTATTAGCTAAACTAGCTGCCAAACTAAAACAATCATATCTTAAATTATAATCAATGCAAACACTAGTCTATAAATTTTTATGTCAAAAATTTCACATTACAGTTAGGATATCCCTGCTTTAAGTTTCCGTAGCTGCACAGGAACTGCTAAAGCTAGCTTCTGCTACTGCACACTGAAATAGGACTGCCAACCTATTCACAACTAAAACAAGGAATGCACTCATACTTCAAATGATTCGTATTAAAGCAATATAAAATTTATCTTGTTTCAGGTAGACTTTTTAGTTTGAAGCAGCAGCACCTGTTGCTCTTCCCACAAGCTTTCTGCCAAGTCTCAAAATATTTCAAGAGCTTGTCACTCAAATGTCAAAAATCATGACTTAGAAGGGATACATGTTGTACTGCTAAAATACCTGCAAAGATAATATTTTAAAGGATTTATTCAGTGTGGAGTAAACAGTAAAAAGATTAATCGCATATACATTCTTGGCTTGTAGTCCTAAATTAAACTCAGAAATATTAAGTTGCTTTTATGTAATAAACAGAATTGTGACCTTTTTTAAATGAGCATATTCATATGACAAAATTATGAAGCATTATAATCAAGTAACTTCTAAAACCTGATTCAGATAAATTTATGTACATTATGTGAAATACTGGAAGCTGAAGACTTCTTATAAAACTAGAAATAATATGAAAACATCAAACTGGTATCGAAGCCTTACCTGAAGTCCTTATAATTCATAGGTCACGTTCATTTCCACAGGTTTCTATAGTTTGTGCCTCAGAACATTTACAGTAAAATTATGTAAGCTGACACATATACGGAGGTCATTTAAAAATCTGTCTTACATTCAAATGACTAAATTCGAGAGTCAGGGATCTTGTTTTTGATTTGATGCATCAATCAGGCAGCCACCGTTTGTACACTGCAGCTTTTTGTACTTTTAAAAGCAGAGACTCAGCCCTAATAGCATTAAAGAGTGGGCAGACAGTTCCTGTCGCATTAGTTGCAAAGACTGCAAAGTTATGTAACACTGCAGGAAGGGGGGGAGCTCTTAGGATTAGAATATCACTGCAAAGAATAACAGCCAGGGTCATTAACAGTTTCCTTTACTAAATGTGGAAGAGCCTCTTATGGCTCGCCTTCAAAAGATGCAAGGCTGGCAATGATGTTTCTGCTCATGTTTGTCTCTGTTAGCAAAATGTCTCGAGAACTGCAGAACACATTTTGATCAACGTTAAGTAAAGTTTGGACAACTGATTCGTGCATGGAGCCAATGCAATTCAAGACTGCTGCCTCAGCTAATCAAAATTAGCAAACATGAATATGTCTACAGCTCAGTCAGTTTTAYAGACACTGAGCTAAAGTTTGCTTCACTTCTTCAGCAGCAGGCTGTTGGCCCAAAGCTCAGTGCTCTGCTCTTTGATGGACTGGGCTGGAGCTGCATGTTGGAGAACTTATCAAGTGTCTAAACACAGAGTGGAGAGGCCTCTTACAGCAARAATTTCTAGATCTTTGAGAGATGATGGGACTTGAACGGGACTTATACTCTGCAGGATTTTACATTAAAATAGCCAATATTATAACTGGGTATACACTCACCGGC